CCAGGTGGCCAAGAAGGCCAACAGCATCCTGACTTGTATCAGAAGTAGTGTGGCCAGCAGGAGCAGGGAAGTGATTGTGCCCCTGTACTCAGCACTGGTGAGGCGGCACCTCGAGTGCTCTGTTCAGTTTTGGGCCCTTCCCTCCAAGAAGGGCATTGAGGCACTGGAGCGTGTCCAGAGAAGGGCAACCAGGCTGGTGAAGTTTCTTGGAGAACAAGAATTATGAGAAGCGGCTGAGGGAGCTGGGGTTGTTTAGTTTGGAGCAAAGGAGACTGAGGTGAGCCTTATCGCTCTCTACGACTACCTGGAAAGGGGGGTGTAGAGAGGTGGGTGCTGGTCTCTTCTTCCACATAACCAGTGACAGAACAGGAGGAAATGGCCTCAAGTTGTGCCAGAGGAAGGTTAGATTGGATATTATGAAAAATCTCTTTACTGAAAGAGTGGTCAAGCACTGGAAGGGGCGGCCCAGGAAGGCGTCACCATCCCTGGAGGTGTTCAAGAAGCGCGTGGATGTGGCACCTCAGGACATGGTTTAGTGGGCGTGGTGGCATTAGACTGACAGTTGGACTTGATCTTAGAGGTCTCTTCCAGCCTTAATGATTCTGTAATGATTCTATGTTACCTGGAAGCAAAAATCCATGGCTTTTGCAGGACAGTGTAAACATCTTGCAAAGACTTCAGGGCAACAAACTTATCTTTCTACATTCCAAACTTACTTAATTTATGACACCCAGACACAGGTATGATACAGGCACTTTTAGCTGATCAGGGAAAACACTGCTATACACTGCCAGCAGTTTCTAAGAGGTCACTTCTGAAAGAATGCTTAACTATAATAAAATTAGAAAGCCTTTCTTAACATCTCAGCTATCTCAATATTTATTCTTTTTTGTAAAGCAGTAAACGCAATGAGTAAAGAGCTAAAGGAGCTAAAAAGGAGATCAAAGCTGTTCCTTTGACAATTTTAGCAGTTCAGATGGTTTCTCTCGAAGGAAAACATCACATTGGAACTAGCATAACGACCTAATCCATTAAAGTATTTTGTAACTTGTTTCAGTTCAGACAGGAATGAAGTCTTCCCTCTCCACTGCTTTCTGAGGAATGGCAGTTACGATAAACCTATGCTATGGCTTGTGCTGTCTGGCATGCAAAAGACTCGTGGTGAAAACCTGAAAATATTAATTGGGTCACACTTCAGAATTATTAATGTCTTCTCCCAAATGCACAAATTCTCCTTTTATTCTAATGGTAGACTTCAGACTCAAGTAAGTAATAGTTCTGAAAATGACAAATCGGTATAGCTAATTAAACTTTAAACTTCGCAGTAGATGACCATGTATTTTGCTTTTTCAGTAAAAAATTATCCGCAGGAATCACCAATGTATAAGAACAGACAGAACTAATCAGTTCTGCTGAGACAACGGAAGCTGCACTTAAGCTCAGATATAGCTATATAAATTATTATCAGAGTGAAATGAATTCTAAAATGCGACCGTCTGGTAGAAACAAGACAAGCGAGCAAGCAAGATGCTGAATCTTCAAACTGGTTTAAATTGGTTTAGCTCCACTGATTCTCATAAAGTAAATCTCATTTATACAAGCTGAGACTGTGGCTCCTGATTTGTTATTTGAGCCATTCGTTAATGGTCTGCCTTTATTTATGAACAAAAGCTTCCATCATCATCTAAAGTGCTTGTTCCTTTAGTCCATCGTTTTGTTTAACCAAGAAATGAGGCTGCAATTCAATTCTGTAGCCAAGCAAACTGTTCAGTAAATGGTTTTGCATTGTATCTTCGATTAAGTTTTGCCCTATCATTTTCTAAATTCTTCTACACCACAGATACAAAAACTAAAACAGCCATTTCAGCTACTTCCAAAGTGAGGAAGCAAAAAGTAATACAGCCAGTTAAATCTTAAAAATTGAGATGGAAATCATTCAAAACAACATTACTGAGAAGTTTTAAAAGGAGCTGCATCACCAGGCAATTGAGACCTGAACACAAACAGCATAATTTCCCTGCTAAATTCTTGCAACTTTATCGTTTTCTGTGCTCCATAACAATGTATGAAGGAACCACTGCTAAATGTAGGAAATGAGGACACCTCGTATCCAGAACAAAACCTACTGAAGCATCAGAGCAACTTACTTTATATGGTGATCCTCCACAGGGATCGCTTTCCTCTGGTCCGCACGCATCTCCTTCCTTCGCAGCAATCATGCCGGCCAGGCAGCTGTTCTCCTTCACGGTGGAGACGCAACACTGCTTCTGAGCAATTCTGCAAAGGATCACGGAGGTCAAGCGTTCACTGACATTGAGAAGACATCAGGATGGGATGAAAAAACCCCAGACCTACTGGATTCACAATAAATTCCAGATATTTTGTCTCTCTTCGACACATGTCAATACTAGTATAATACACACGGTACCACTCACTTTTGCAGGATATATTTTTTCCTCATTTCTAATAAAAAGATGTACTGATAAATGCTCAACAAGTTTTGTGTTTACGTCATTGTTTCTCAAAGTCTGGTCAACAATATCCCTTACAGCTTATCTATATTTGTGCAACAGTCCCTTTCTCCCATGTTTTACTTCTCAGAAATCTTCAGAAAGTTTCAGAAACAGAAAACAGAAACTTTTTTCTCTGGAACGTGGGGAAAGGGAGATGCACCTGTACACACTTCTTCACCAACCAAAGGACTGAAGCTCCGGACAGGACTGGACAGTGTCAGATCACAAACTCCCTCTAAACTCAGATTTATAGCCCTGCAGATGGTAACCAAGAATTTAAGCATTCCTCTAACTTCGGTTATCAAGGAGAAGGTTATGGGTGACTTGATCACTGTATATGAAGTACTTTGGCAATGTACATTTCCTATATCTGGATCTTCAAATCAAACATTTTAACAAGATTCACTGAAGGTTGAAACGAAGCAGTTTAAAAATCTAAACTGAAAATTCCTAAATTGAATTTAATAGACCTTCATTGAAATAACAAAATACTCTTCCTCACTATTTTAAAGTCTGTAGTGGGTTTCCCCCTGCCCCTTCAAAGAGATGAGTGCTTCTTTCACTCATACTCAAAAGGGCAGGCAAAAATCACAGAGTGCCTTTGGCTTTACTCCGTGACCCTGTCCCTCAGCCCACATAGCATAGAGACCAGCAGCACTCCAGGAGGGGCATGCGTCTGGTCCTGGGGTAAGGAAGCCCCCTGTGATGGGGAAAGGTGAGGACTGGGAGCTGCAGGCCACAAAAATTCTCCTGAGGGGGTTCTGTTGAGCATGGGACCTGCAGATTTGGCACATGGGACAGAGATGATTATGTCAAAATAATACATTATGTTATGAGTGAGGGTAAATTTTTGTTCTGGACAGATTTGGTGACATAAAGGAATTAAGCAAAGTTTTTCTTTTTCCAAGAATAACCTTGATGTATAACTATCCTTTGCTAATGCATTGGCACAGGGCACCCTGCCTTCTGGGGTACCCTGGTAAGAATGGACAGGAGAGTGGTGCACAGAACAGCCAGTGCCTCATAGCAAAGCAATTCACCTGCAACGCAAGCAAGCAACTTTTGTCAGTCAGGTACCATTATGTCCTTGTTTGAGCTAAATAGAACTCATTTTCTATTTAGTGATTTTACTTTTCAGCTCAGTCTCTTTTAAGTGGCTGAACTTGCTGAAAACTAGCAGCATGTTTTATCCCAGACAGTGTGTACTGATAATGTTCAAGGCCAATTGTTTCACCATGGGTGTCCTGTCTGCATCTACACAGGTGGAAGCGGACCCAAAACTGACCAACGAGGTAATCCATCCCACATACGTCATTCTCGGTATAAAGCTGAGGGATCACAAGGGTCTCATCCCTTCTTCCATCTTGGAGTGCTTCCAGCTCGGACCCTTCTATATGTCTCAATCCTGCAACGGCCGAAGTCTGAACAGAACCCTGCTGGTTCGTCTGCCTCTGATCCTGATCCGTGTGTTCCTGTATCCTGATCCTACCCACTGCTGAGTTTGGTCTGGGACTTTTCCAGTGCCCAGCTCCGCAGAGCCTCTGGTGCCATCATTGTCACTGGGGGGAGGGTGGGGGGGATTTTATATTGGCTTTGTATATATATTTGTACACATCTGTATATATTTCATTGTTTTCCTATTTACATTATTATCCTGTAGTATCAGTATTATTGTTTTGTTAGATCTGTTAGTTTTATTTTCCAACCCGAAAAGTCTCTCGCCCTGATTCTCTTTTCTCTTCCCTTCTGGGGAGGGGAGAGGGGTTAATAGAGAGTGTCTGTCCAGGATTTAGTGGCCAGCCCAGCCCTAAAACGACGACACATTATTACTGCAATAAAACAGAGTTGTCCTAGGAAATAAAACCTTTTCTGAGCAGACTGTATTTTCAATTCACAACTTTCATCCTAATTCTTCAATTCAAAAGGAAAAGAAGAAAAAAAAAGAAAAAGGAAAGGGATGTCTCTTATTCCAGCAGAAATCTGTCAGTGACAGCCACCTGGCCACTTTCCCAATACCAATGGCCTGTTGTGTCAGCTTCACATTAATATTTTTATGCTGGATAGCATAAGAAAGATGTAACCAGGAAGCAGTGGTTTTGAGTTTGATTACAAGAAGGGGACTACCACCTCCATGTGCTTTGTTTTTATGAATGTTAGTTTTCTAATCCAGTATTAATTGCCAACTGGAGAAATACTATTTATTGAGCAATGAATGGTTATTACCCAAATATATCCAAGTGCCAGTAATTTAACTATTCTTGCTTAAATAACACATCCAAACTTTCATTTTAGAAAATAATTTTAAAATATCTACTTTTGCAGAAATGACAAAATGCTACTAGAAGCATTTTTATATGTGGAAAGTGTTTACCGTATTAAAACACTGAAATCTCTATAGATTCATGTTCTTCTGAAATGCAACATTTAGCCATGAGAAATTCCTTTCATGTACAAACACATAGTAGAAACAGTATTGTCTAGAGCACTGGAGTATCACTGGCCATTTTTTATTTTAGTATTTCTTTACTATCAGCACAGCTCAGCTTCAGCTACTTTATTACCAGAAAATGAACTGGGAACAGTGTTAACCACATTCTCTTGTTTCTTCTTCACAAACCTACTCTTCACAGAACAGATAAAAGAGTTCCTGGTTCAAAGAAGATTCAGTACATTTCTGCTTTAGGTGAGTCAAGATGTTAAATGACGTCAATGTATTGAACTAATTTGAGTCTCTAATTGGGACACAGTGTCAGCAAAAAGCAGGATTCATACTTATACATCTGATGTATATGGCACCCAGATAAACATTGCTGTTATGATAAAATACATATCAATTATGAGATAAAAACTACTATACTGGGTCAGATGAGGCTAGATTAGACTAGATGAGGTCAGATTACATCCTATTTCTGATACAGCCTGTGGCACAAATTCTGGGAATATTTTTACATTTGGCTATTAGTTGACTATCTAAGGACTGCCTGTAACTTGCTTTATTTAAGTTCATTCACCTAGTTACTACACAGGATCTCTTTCACGTAGTCCCAGTTCCCATGCTGTTGGTCACTACACAGAGATAGGCTAAGTTGGTACATGAATATTCAGAGACATCATAATACAAGTAGCTTTAACATTTAAGTTTTTGCCACTTGAAAACCCCAAAATGGCATTTGGAAACAACAGTCACCTTGATATGCAACCTCTGTATCAATGACCCACAGCCTCAGCAGGCACAGGGGAGGCTTCACTCATTTGCCTCAGCTGAAAAAAATCAATACCTTCGTGCAGTGTTGACCACCTGTAAAACTCATGCATTTATAGACAACTAAACTGGCAGAATGGTAGCTAATTTTGACAATTTTTAAAAATCTTTAGATACTGAGTCGAGTTAGAGCAGAATCCTGGGAGCCTGCGTTCTGACACACAGAATGGCTCGCCTGAGGCCTGGCTATGTGCACGGCAACCAGCTCTGCACACTGGCGCATTCCCCCAGTGGGAACAGTAAATTTCTCTCCATGCTTTCAAGGTTCTGAGGCCATGGATTTGAATACTTTTTTTTTTTACATTAATTTATTTCTTTACACAGAATATTTACAGGTGGTTTTAAATCTTTAAAACTGGGACACAACTGAAATTTTGAAAGTAAACAACTGAACTCCAAATCTCTTACTCTTTTAAATCCCAGCAGATTCACAGGGACTGAAACATTTAAGATCTGTTTTTTTCATCTAAAGTCAGCCTCAGATGTGCAGGTGCAACTCATTAATGTATTGGATTTGCACCTACTTAGGCCAAGGCTGGAATTTTTTAATCTGTCTTTACTTCACAGACAGTTGGTATGTGTCGGTTATGTCATGCCAGACCCCAGTGGGGGGCAGTTTAATCTCCCACTAACTTCAGAAAGGTCCAATGATACTAACTTTGATAAAACCCATTCTGCCAATCTTTTTTAATGCTGAAACTTTTGGAGTCACTCGAAGAAATCCATCTGGCTTATGCTGCACCACTGAGTTGCAGATAACTTTGCCTTCATCCCTCTCTAAGGCCTGTTTCAGACTGGGGGAGGAGAGATGGGATGAACTGCAGCCAGCGCAATCCACGCTGCTCCACACGCAGCCTTCTCTTCCTGTGCAGTTTGGATCTGGCACCCCCACTCAGACCAGATGCTACTGACACAAGCAGCACTATCAAGGAGCACGCTCTCCCCCTCCAGCTGAAAACAGACATCAGAACAAGCAGCCATTCATTTTGGACAATAAACACCTCATTTAATGATATGGATAATCACTGCGTTTAGCACTTGCCAAACGGAAGACAAACACATTGAGCTGCTCTGCCTTTCTATGTATCTGCTACTCCACGGACGCACATAAAACTGGGAAACAAAAATTTGCACTCTGCTCACGTGAGAGAGGAAAAGAAACCTTAAAAGGCCTTTGTTTGGATTAGATTTTGGGGAAAAGGGAGAGGGAAATCCTTCTTTCTAATTTGCCATGACATATTGCCAGTCTACCAATAATTTATACAACGAATCAAACAGTTCCCAGTCTCCTGGACATCCCACAAATTGTACAATCATTTCACTTCATTTCAGGTAAAAAGGCCGCTCTCTGTGTTAACCTAAAATGCTCAGTTTTGCCTTACGTACCTGCAAATATCACCATCCATTCCACTTACAGGGATTTCCGTGCACTCCCCATTGTCTATAGCCCACTGTTGTCCAGCTCCACAGCAGCTTTCAATCAATTCCTTTGTGGAACCTGTATAAAACATACACCCAGAATAATTAAGCTGTTGTAACAGTGCCTTTACTACCACTAGCAGGGCAAGCATGAAGGTGTCCAAGCAAAGTTCACAACAAATTAAATTCAACACACAGAGCACGCACAAGCTCGGCACACGCAAGCCTCAGTAGTTCTCTTACGCTAAACTGTAAATACGAAGTTTCACTGATGACTAACAACAAACTGAAACACATTCCTTGTCACAGCCCCTTAAAGTTCTTAGTATTTAGCAAGGGTGCTTTTAGCAGGCTTGACACATGTAGCATTAAGAAATTGTTTCCACAAGAGAGATTGAGAAATTTCCTCAGAATTGCCAAGAGTAACTATGCCTAGACTGTCCTATGGCTAAATTTGAGGGATCAGCTGATTTAAAACCATAATGAAAAGTGTTTGAGAGACGTAACTCTGACTCTGCTAATGAACTCACATAAAATGCTGACACTGAGATGTAGTAAGAGATGGACGTGTAGAATGCTGCACTAGTTTTTACCTTCTTCCTTGTAGATTTCCACTTAAGATGTAAATTTCGAAGTTACAGTGAAATTCAACTTAAACTAGTGGATTTTCAATATCCTACATACCTGCTGTATAGAACACACTCAGGTCATGTCAGACAAGGCAGAAACAGTATTTTTTGGAGCCTGCTTAGAAGTTTACTTCATGATGGGACATCTGCCATGCCACTGGGGTGCAAACACCAGCAAACACTAACATAAGGCAGCTGGCAAGCTCTGTGCGCTGTCAGGAGGAAGATTTCTCCTGCATTTCTCACGCAGTGGATGGGCTCTGTCGCACAAAGCCCATGGTCTCCCCCTACCCATCTAGCGGGGCCACAGCAGGAGCTGTCTGCTCGGGGAGCAGTTACATAGAGAGCAGGTAAGAAAACGCTTAAGAGATGTCTTTTAGAGAAACACGAGGTGTGGTACAAATGCTTGGGGGCAGTGATTTCACAGTATTGATATATATGTCAACACACATAATAAAGATGGTATATCAGACCACAGGGCTCTGCTTTCTCTGCAAAGAGTCAATGGCTCTGTGCTGATGAGTTGGAGCAGCGCCTGCTCTCTCCACTGGCTCATCAGAAGTGCTCCAGTGCCTTTTAAAGCCATTTATATGGAGATAAGGAACATTTTGTGCATTTTATTCATGCTTCCAGGCAAGTCTCTGGCATAGTTTGATGTTACCATCAAGAGGAAACAAGACAAAACCACAACAAAATTGAGTTGCAGAAGATGTGTGGGCGCAATGGACCCCAGGTAGGTCCATATCTGTGTACTGACCTAACCAACACCCAGGATCCATGTTGCACAACAACGTATTCTCAAGAACCCTCAGCCATATTTTAGATAAATCCCTCCTGAATCAGTTCTGCTTACAGCAGGAGGAGGGAACCTCCTTCTCTACCAGGATTTTAGGAAAAATGCCATTGCTGCAGAATGCCACTGCTGAAGGTGCTGCGCTCTCCTGTCAAGACTTGGCAACAAAACTAAACATTTGGAAGCCATCTCTGCCGGAGTGGCCTTGCACAATTTTGATGTGTCAGGGAACTGCATTCAGGTTGAGAGGAGGGACTGCAGCCATTCCACCTCAGCAGAGAACCCCCTCCTCCTCCTGCCTGTTAACAGCAGTGTTAAGCAGCTTCTCCAACAGGGCAGATTTGTTGAAAAAGTGAGCAGAATCCTTTATTTGTTTGCATTTGGTATAGGGTATCAAGTCAAATAATTTTTCATTGCAAAAGTGCAACACTTAAAGTTAAGTGAGACATTTTTAGAAATGGCTCCAATTCAAAACATCTGGGTGTCCGTGCTGCACAGCTCAGAAGAAACAGAAACAGCCCGCGTTACCAGCACACTTCTGCCATCGTGTATTTACAACCATTATTCTATGTTTCATACAATAGTAGAAAACCTGTATATAGTGCCTTGTTGAGCTACGTAGTCATCAGATATTAAGGGTAAGACGTTTAAGTGAAGTGCAGCATTATCTTCAATGTTAAAGAACGTTTGCACTTAAACAAATAATACAAACCTCAGCAGAAGACTATTCCTTTATATGTGTTACAGTTAATTTAGGAGATACTACATTTTGGAAACTGGACAGTTTTCATCACCAGCATGACTTGCTTTGCAAAAAGCATCCAGAAAAATTAAATACACATAAAATATTGTGCTTGCCATCATGAAATGTCTGCTCATGAGAACACAACTTTAAGAAACTTTATGTAACAGGAACAAAAAAGAGAGGAGAAAGAAGGAATACATGTCCCATGACTGACCAAGATCTCAGGGGACAAAAATTACCAAATTCCATTTGCTCCTGTGTTCTTCGACCCCTGACAGGGTTCACTTCCCACACTCCATTGCAGTGCCTTCACAGACCTGAGCTGGGGCTGGCTGAGCAGCGCTGAGCACTCCAGCAGCCAGAGGAAGCACAGTCTGGGGACAGCCGTGGATACGATGAAGCCATGGTACTGGGACAGGCAGGACTGCCCTGCTCCTGAGGGTGAGCCTGGGGCCCAGACTGAGCCGCTGGCAGAGGTGAGGGGGCTGCACAGGGGCTGCTGCCACACGCTCAGACAAAGAGCTTCACCTCTTCCCTAAGCCCTTATTTATATGATGAAGAAAAAAAGCGGCAAGGGGAAATGAGGGAATGCTTCACACTTCTGTAAATTTTACTTTGTTTTTTTTAAGGCTTCAAGGAGAGACAACCAGACTTGAAGCCACTTCACCCTCACCCTGTGCAGCCCAGCTGCAGCAGGGTTTCAACAACCGAAGCCATATCTATCCTCCCCCATTGCCATGTTCACACTCACACACAAGGGCACATACTACCATAAGCAACTGCAACTGCCCTTTACTCTACACAATGCATTCGTTTCATGCAGTATATTAACAATGTTAAAAATGTATTTGAATCCTGAAAGCTCTTCTACATTTAAGAGTTTGTATATGACATGAGAGGGGCAATACGTGCAATTAAACTAGGCAGGAAATACACCTGGTACCAGATAATCACAAAATACTGCTGGAAAAGAGTTTTTCAACATAGTTCTAATTCAGTTCCTTGGTGGAAACTCCATTCATTTCACCAAGTGCTGAAACTCATTTGTTGCTACAGTATTGCTAGGTTTAACCTACAAGAATACAGCAGAATTTACCTATCTACACTGCAGTAATCTACATGATTTATAATTCAAATAAAATTAATTACTCATTCCTCATGGAATACTCAAAATCAGACTGCTGTACTGAAGTGCCATACTATTAAGCTGTCCTATTTACAAAATATATTGCCTTTTGTTACGATTTTATGAATAATTAAATCTAGAATGCAGTCATAATAAAATAAACAAACGATTGCATTTTATCTCATTCAGGAGTTAGAAAAACTGAATAATTCATAATAGGACTCAGTCATTAGCATGGATTTATGGTATTTTGATTATTATACATTAGCAAGAACAAATATATACAAGTAGATACATGCACACGACTGAAGATCACATAGCTTCTATGCTGGATGGAGAATCTAACCTGTATGTATAACAGACTTTGAAATACTTAAACATTCAAACAGAGCTTTGTTTATTTGGGGCTTTCATGATATTAACCAATTTAGAAGTAGATTTGCATCTGCTCATAGAAAACAAAGTCATTTATAATCCTGAATATTTGTTATACTGTGTGCATCTTTGATACTTCATGGAGTCATTTAACAAGATACCTGTTAACAGATAATTTGCTATTTATGAATTTTTTCACTAGGAAAAAAAAAAGTAATTTATTTCAGCCTGTACTATAAAACAGCATCATGTCTCTTCACTGGTCTTTAATTTAGTAACTTATCTCCTACAATTATCACTCTACATCACTCTGAAGATACGAACTAAAGTACATTTTGACCTAATCTCAACAGTTTGCGTATTGCCTTTTAGAGATATTTAGAATTGAATTCAAATATTTAGAGAAACAGTTTCCCTCCAGAGAACTTTAACTCATCCTTGACTGTGCCTGACAACGCCACATTGTCCCAGCGCCTGGTCCAGGCCTGCCCAGTGGTGGGATGGCCTGCCGCTGACTCTGGGGCACACCAAGGTTTCCCTCAGCACGTAATGTCCCCGCACCTTTTACACGCTGCTACCCAGGATTTTCACCTCTCAGCTAGAAAAATCTGGCATGGCGGGTGGGTGCATATTTGAAAAGGTTTACCTGAAGCTCAAACATTTCACTGAGGAAAACACACAGTTAAAGGCCACTAAATTATTTCCCTCCACTTAACACAGTGAACCATAACTTTGTTAGAACAGTGACAGAGACAAAAGGGATTTTAAAAACCCTCCTCCCCTTTTTCCCCCTGCAGTGTTCACAAATTATGTTTTGTGAGTGATAAAATGTCAGCCTGCTCTAGGGCTGGTCAAGAATGGACAGGATATTTCAGCTTCTTGACAGAGCTTTTTTTAACACTAAAGTTTCACTGATTTCAGTTTCACGTGAATTTCACTCAGAACACTTAAGCGGTTTAACACCTCAGATTTCATTGCTTACTGCCATTCTCACTTGAGCTTTGCAGCTCTGCAGAACATCTGCATCGAGTGACTAACTCCTATTGTGCAGACATCCACTCCTGAGCACAGGCCCTGACTCCCTGACTGAGCCATTAGGAAGGTTTCATCCACCATTCTCCTGTCCTAAGTGTTTCATTTGTCTAAACAGAACCCGGCCAGACAAACCTGCAGACTCCAGCACTTCCTCACCTGAGCGAGCAGCGAGCACCGACGCATCAGCTACCCACATGCCCAAGCCTTCCACCCACCAGTGGCAAGTGATGGGTTACATCTTGGCCACTAGCTTTAAGATTTCTTTCAGTTAAAATTATTTTCCAATGGCTTGTTTTCAAAAAACAATTATTTTCCGTTCTACTAAAATTATTATAGGAGCCATGGCACAATAAATAGTCTTAGGTAGTAATTTTAT